AGCGTTCATCATTAAAATCAATTAATTGACATCGGTATACTGGTAATATTGATTGTAAAAATAGTGTATTGATTCTTTGACAGTTCAAAGATAAAACTCGACTAAATAATTAGGTTGATTATTGAATAAAAGACCTAATTTGAGTCTGAAACCTGTTTATTTCTGTCCTGTTATGTTCTTGTACTTTAACAGCCATTTTAAGACAAACAATAACTGATTTAAGATCGCTCGTCAAAATAATTTTCTTGTCTTTTCGTTTTTGGGTTTATGACAAACTGTTTGATGTTCTTTCAATTGTTTTAACTATATAATGACAAGAAGACACGTCGGTTTGCCTCAAAGTTCAAAAGAAGTTAGCTAAAGTCATAAAAAATTGAAATGTGAACGTGCGCAGTGTACCGCCATGTACAATTATTGGTTCCCTGCGTTATATAATTATGATATTTTCTTGGTGGTCCATTTTGCTTATCCCTGGGCCGACTGCTTTCTTGTACTTTTGATCAAATTGTCTTGTATTTCATTAAGTCGTCTACATTTGCTGGTACAGGTCAACTTTATATCGTCTGCCACTTCAGGCCTAGTCTAACGTTATCTTCTACAATTAAATTGGTCATTAATGATCGTTCAAGGTTATAGACATTTTTTTGGAAAAAAGTTAATTTGTGCCAGCAACTGAATAACTTCCTTATTGAGTGCATCGCCGGAAGTGTAAACTGCGGAAAAAGTACGCATTAATCTAGTTTTTTATCATACTTCCACTGGAGATGTTTTGGCACAAAGGTAAAGGTCGGTTTTGTATTGTTAAAGGAGATATGGAATTTGATGTCTGTCATTTCGAAGTTTTTAAAAGATGCAACACTTGTCCACATGCATTCAAAACCTAAACAAGTAAATAAACAAATGTCAAAGTAAAGTAATTCTACAGAAAATATTTGTTCATGGATAGTTACCTTAATTGTCTACTCATTTGTATAAACGAACCAAATTAATCTAAATTCTTAAGCAAAAAATCAATCAGGGCTATCAAATTTTTTGTAATAGACTTTGTTTGAAGCATTAAAGAAAGGACACAGTGTGACTAAAAAAGGAAGGAAACGGTAATGTATGCATTTTGATACAAGTAGTTTGTTTTCTGAAATTTTACTGGCCATCGGATTTTTTCTTCATTATACAGAACGCCATATTTATCCTCAGTACAAATTCTTTAAGAACAATCCAATTTTCCCCCAATAAACCAGCATCATCAAAACTTCGCTAACCAAAGGGTTTTCGAATCGTTCCACTCCTATAATTAGTAGAAGCACTTTGCGAGCTACAATGGTGCCACCTGGAATTGGATTATAAGACTCATTTATTATACGAAATGTTCTGAATCAGTTTATATGGCTATTAGATTTAATAAACAGAAGTACATGTATAATTGAATTCTTGAGCAGTAGATATGAAAATAATATTTTTACAGAACATATTGCGAATGGTATTATTAATTTAATTCTTTTGCAAAAGTTAAAATTATTTACGCCGTAACAAACTGCACTGAATTGACAGTCCACTAATATTTTTTCCAGTTCTAGTTCTTCCTTGCTCTCTTTGCTGCACAAATGAATATCAACTCTGTTCCCCGCATTTTACCGAAATAATTATTTTTTTTCTTTACAGATAGAGAGAATAGGGGAAAATTACATACACTGGTACAGTATATTCTTTAAGTAGAACCTTTATTTATAAGGCTTGCTACCACCTGTGCAAATATCAAGCCATTGAATTCCTTGTCAAATAGAATATCACTCAATAAATGATTTAGTGTCATCTAAAAGCAGATATAATGCATTACATAGGTACCTCTTAACTCGTGTTTGCCGAATAAAACAAAAAAAGATGTAATTATTTAGCGATAAGTCAAGGCAGGTGCACGGTCTAGAGTTGTATGGGGTGCGCCATAAATCCTACCCGGTTACGTTTCCCCGCCGAAACATTGTGGTATAGATGTGATTTACAGCAGTGTAATATTATAACGACTATTCTTGATGCGTTGTCTTGCAGAAAGCACTTTCAAAAAACTATTAAAGTTAAATTATCACCTCTTTCAATAAACGTTGTTATCGTAAGCTATTGTCGATAGCGTCGTTTAACTCTCGATCGAAAGGAAAACAAGTATTTCTTCCATTGTTGGAAAAAAATAGCTTTCAGATAGGAAGAAAAGTGCGCCATTTCGTTGTACTACAAGACTTAACCGACATCCGGAAATGTTAAATGGGCGACCCGTCCTGACAGTTTAAAAGTGTGAAGGAACTTCTTCACCGCAATATTCTTTGAATCTTGCAATTCGGAAAAAATATTATTGAAAATACTTTGGAACACATAAATCTTATTCGTCTTCCATTTACCGAAAACACCTTGCCCACGTCGAACATGGCGAAACCTTTGAGGAAATGGTTCGCTTCGTCATGCTTGGAGGTCGAATTGGGAAATTTGGGGGTTTTCCTTGTCATGTTTATCTGCTGCCTTCACGTAAAACTTTCTCAAAAAGAGCAACCTTATTCCAGAAGTTTTCAAAACAGTCATCAGTATGATTTATATGTACTTACGATAACAAAACCTTAGATCTTTGAATTATGCCTTTATATGTGTTCATTTGGTTAAGATGATTTATATACCAGTTTATCCTATGACTTAAGAAAATGTACATATGCAAGGTGTTCTTGAAAAGGTCAATAGAATATGTTAATGATGCAGTCATACGTGCACGTAACTTGCATGTAATCCATGGCAAGGATCTAAACACAATCCATGGCAATGATCTAAACACCATACACTGAGAACGTGTGATATTAGGAAAGCAAAGCTTTGGTTCTTCTAAAATTGTCAAAAGATCACCATTCCACATGTATTTTTTCCTTACTAGTCATTCACAGAATCATATCACTTACGGGAAGGTCAAAAGGTTAAGATGTAACATTTTGTTGGAGGTCAAAAATGACGAACGTCGTGTAAATGCAACGTCATAAGCGAAAATAATAATTAACACTCAGATTGAATCAAAACGACTGCTCCTTCGAACTCCAATTTAGCTGTACAAATACGATACCATTTAAACAAGAATAATATACTAATATACAAAGAAATGATATTTCTTTAATCTACCATGAAATTTAAAATTGTACAACGCTTCATAAAAAGCAAGGTATCCTGTAAAGCTAAAATTAACAAAAATCGCTTCTTTTGAAGATAACTTGAATTCTCAAACATCTCATATACGTGTACACGCATCAGTATATGTAGTTGTTTTCCAAAATATTTACAGGTATTGTTAAAGTCCCCATAAGATTTTAATGCGAAATAAGTGTCCTGTCATTTATGGCTTATAAAAACAATATACACGGTGTAATGCTTCAGTAACGTGCAACACTTGACAAAATCAAACGTCTGATATATATTGACCGCAAGATTGTGCTGGTTAATTCCCTGTAGACACAGGTGTTCAAATAAGCCGGACAGGGGTAGATTACTTGTCGCCCTAATTACCTCTGTTCGGTAATTAAAGGTTGAGGACAGTATATCCCAACCCTTTTTATCTCGTCTAATCATTCGGATGTCAAATTTCACCAGATGATCGTGTGAACATTGGTAAATAGAAACCAAGTCCCCCGCAGTCATTGTCAACTGCAACAGAAGATGAAACTAATAAAGACACGAATCGTACAAGCAACAACCTGCTTGAAAGCTCCATTTATAAAAGGAATATCCTTCTGTTAGTGAAAATTAGAAGTCTCTGATGAAACTGTAACTCTACGGTTTGTAAATATGAAAAGAAGAAGAAAACTTGAAACTCTGCAGCATTACAAGAACAGTAAATAAGAATTATAGTTTAGTTTGCCTGTGTATCAAGTTTTGTTAAATTCAGACCGAAATCAAAAATCAAAAGATGAGAAGCGTTTTAAACAAATTTCACTTATGTACCTATTTCCAGTCAACACTGCTACAGTGTTCATCAAAATCAAAACCCAGTAAAGAGAAGTATGTATCTTTAGACTGGTTTCTACGTCATATCTTGAAAACACAAACCGATTTACCGAATTATATAGATCTACTAGTTTAGTCCATTTGTGTACCAAAATCTGTTGAAATCGCACCAACATTAGAGTAGTTACAAAAGTAATGTTTTCAAAAATGCATTCAAAAAGGCAACACTTCTAATGCATAAGCTCTTTTGGTCTCCGACCGGAAGAGAAACAAAAATGCCCATTTCCGGTTTTTTTTCTATATTGCATGGTATTGTCCTTTTTTGCCTCTTGTTTTTTTTTCTTACAGAGAGAAGACGAATAATTCAAACATACTTTATATGAGAGCAAGTCAGCAGTTATAAAACATATTAAAGGTTACATCAAAGGTCAACCACATATTGAAGAACGTAAACCACAGACTAAATACCTGACAAAAATGCCGGGAATCTATTGGCTGTCTGGGGGTCGTCAACACTTCCCATTGTTAATTAAGATCGTGTAAGTTGCCTTATACATGACAAGAATCAAAACCACTATGTGAGTTTTAGGTTTACATTTTCAGGACATCTTACAAATCTTTAGATATTTCATGTACCGCAATGATTCCAAGTTTCATTAGACCTTAGGAATAAGGCTAAATGATGGGTACCTTAAGGGTTTCTCTCTGTATGTGCGATATACATGTGCAGAAATGGTTTTAAAAAAAAAAACCATTAAGTGTTTTTATTTTGGTAAAAAGTGAAGAAAAGATTTTGTAAGGGGCGGATATAATAAATATATGTACTTCTAAACAGAAGAAATAAAATTAAGATGACCAAATTTAACATTTTTTATAAATGTAAGAAAAGTAATTTTAAACATTTCTATCTTCCACCCTGATAATAAAATGGTATAGTCGAATAATAATAATTTTTCATTGATATATGCATTATAATATATCAAGACATTCCATAACATTTTAACATTTTATTTAAAACAATTAAATAGAAAGCACATCACAATAAAACAAATCATATTAACATGACGATAGTAAATATATGATTTTTTGTTTAGATTTTCAAAGAGCTAGATCGGATGTACAGTTTGAACTTTAAGGAGTCATAAATGTTTATTAATACCACTAAATATGATACATAAAACTTCAAAGCAAACTGTTTTAAAGGAAGAGTTATTCTTGACGTCAATAGTCAACCTCTACAATGATATAGAAAAAATAATAATGATTACCGGTACCAAACCTACGAAAGCCCAGAAGGCTCATTCGAGATTCGAGTTTCAAAATACGAGATTCGAAATTAAAAGTTATGATACAAAAACTTCAAAGCATTTTTAATCAGCAAGATATATTTAAATGATAACTTCTTAAATATTAAATAGAAGTATATATATTTTTGTAGTTATTATATTTCCTCTATTTTGCTTTTTTTCTTTTTACAAAACATATTTATAATACTAAATCAGCATGACTACAATACAAAAAAACGTCAATATCAATCAACAAAGAAATACCCCATATAGAGAGAGAATAATGCCACTCCAGTTTGTTTACGTTGTACCCCCACTGGTATTTCTATGTTTAAAAAACATGCATTTATTTTATTTTAACCTAAAATGTCGATTCACACTGTCTCTAGATATATTTCTATGTTAGTCCATGCTATCGAACTGACTCTGCATCTCGTATAATCCCATATTTTCTCCTTAAACAGCATTCTCTCTTATAATGTACAAGTAAAAGCTTTTCAAAAAAGCTTGCCTGACTTATGATATTGAATTGAATAATAAGTTTTTATGAAAGCCATTAACCGTTCATATGCAAAAAAAAGGAATATCCCCAAAAAGCAATTTTAGCATTAAATATTTAAATTTCCTGTTATTTTTCAATTAACATTTCCTATATATAATAAAAGTAAGGTTGGGAAAAAGGGGGGACACCCCCCCCCCACCCCCACCCCCCCCCCCCCCCCCCCCCCTCCCCCACCCCCCCCCCCCCCCCCCGTTGCTACGTGTCTGATGGAAAAGGAACAGTGAGATTTTGTTAAAAATTGGTTTTGATCTGTTTTTCGTTTGTTGTATAATGACGCCTGTGGAGTGTTACAAATACTTGGAACTCAGGACCAATGAGCAGTTTCATGTAATCCTTTTCGTGCTAACACCTACTGCGACTCGGGACTTGGTTTTAAACGGTCTCATCCTAAGGACCGATCTCCACGTCCTCCAGTGGCGCGACGTAAAGCAAAGTTAATCATTTCGCAACTCTCTGCATAAACTACCGGGAAGACAGCTGAGAATATGATAACTACAAGAAATAAATGAATCGTTATGATTAGCAAGAAAAGATTGGAAACAATGCATAAAGCAAACTTGATGGTGATTCCTTATATTCCTCAATCCTATAAATTTCTGTGTTTCATAGGAGAAGGAATTTTTTGAAATATTATATATTTGGCCAAAACGTTTTATTTACTTTAAATGATGTAACTTCTAACTTCTTTCCCAATATCACCGATAAAAGTTCGAAATTCCAATAAAAAGAACAGACTTGAACATTTCCATTCAGTGCAGTAGAATCATCCAGGAAAAGGGCGCGATGATATACACGTGACATTTTGCGCAAAATGATTGTGACACTCCTTACCTAGAAGACATATGGACTCATCCAACAGTACAGAAACGCAGAAAAAAGGTCAAACGGACATGTCCGTATATGAAATCGCATGAAATAAACAGCTGCATGCAAAAAAACAAAGGAAATAAAACAAATATATTGTATATTCCAGTGATATGCACAAAAATGACTTCGCACCTAGGAAATATCAATCCTTATACAGCCTGATGACGTCAGGCCAATTGTACACAATAGTCCTGTCCACAAGTACCTGTGGTTTACCTAATAGAGGTAATACATAAAATTTAAGTTTCGTAACAATATATATATTTATATATACTCCTGATATATATAATCTGTTTAATGTTTAAGAAGTTATAATACAAATTGAAGTATATCTTGCTAAGCAAAAAATCCAATCTTTATTTAAATTTACTTCTAATATATACAACACTCTTTCTAATCAAATGACCCATTTTTAATAATTATATTAAACGATTTCTTGATAGTAAAAACATAATTAAGGGAAGTAATCAAATGTTGAACCCGCTTTTGATTGGTAAGTCTGGATCTTGAATCTCGAAACTCGAATTTTGAATTATATCGAATCTCGAATGTTGAATCCACTTTTGATTGGTTAGCTTGGATCTTGAATTTCGAAACTCGAATTTCGAAGAATTTTGAATCTCGTATTTTGAAACTCGAATCTCGAATGAGCCTTCTGGGCTTTCGTACAAACCTTATCTATTTGAATTGAATAAAACGTTTTTATGCCATTAACCATATAAAGCAATTTATAATTTTTTTTTCTATCCCTCAACCAAAGACTATTGAATATTGATTAGTTCAACTCTTTGATTACTGAAAGAAACAACAAAAAGATTAAGTAAAGCACTCTATAAGTCTTTCTGTTTCCATACACTTGTATATATATTTAAAACACGATCAAAAATACAAAACGTCACAGACACATTCTTCAAATGCTTATATAAAAATAAATACATGGATATAAATATGTGTATACCAAACAAAAGTTGAAAAATAAATATATATAATGAATAAAATAAAAATAGGATTTGAGCGTTTGATCGTAATAAAATATAATTCACAATACATATTGATCATATATATGTTAATCACAGAAAACATGACCATGCTTAATTCTTGAAAAATGACTAGTGGTGACAAATAAAAAAAACTGTGAATCTGTTTCGTAACACAGTAACAAGATATATAGTGAAATCAAGTAGTGCCAACTAATGATTTAAACTTCAAAAAAAAAAAAAAAAAAAAACATCAGTGGATGTCGACCTGATATAATTGTATCGTTCATTAACAATCATATCAATGGATGCAGAGATACAGAATTTCTGTTTAACTAGCGTATTTATCACTGTTATCCTTGCAATCTCCAAAAAGTTTCAGAATCCACTCGCTGCAGAAGCACTTGGTAAGTGGGTTCTACAAAACACTGCAGTATCTCCTTGAGCTAAGCTTCGCCTTCTTGAGCTACAATTCTTCTCATTTAAAGATATTCTTAAGAACAGAGTATTTATCGTGTTTCTACACGAGAAAAACACAAACAAACAAGCAAGACCTCTAAACAATCCTTTCAGATAACAGTTAATTGATATACAACAAACTGCTTCAAAAGCGTGACCAGATTGCAAAGCATTGATAAAATCTTGTGGTCAGTTCTAAATTTTCTGCTGTAAAAAAAAAAGACAAAACAAAAATAAACGTGCACTTAATTCAGCTTATCATTTATGGGAATCAGAGTCCAAGACGAGAGACAAAGAAGGGGAAGTTAAAATATATCATACTGATTTACCTACAGCTGATAAGTAATCCGCAAGATAAGTACACCATTACAAAACATTTACCAATATCTAGGACAATCGTCAAGACGAAATTTCTTAATATTTTTTAGATAATGACCATAATAGGCCAGCTCCATTATAGAGCTAAAGAGGAAATATACAAATTTAAAAGTCAAATGTCTAAATCAAGATTTTTTGGTTTACGTTGCAAGTTCTTTCGTAAAAAGGGGTCCCAAACTAAATTGCAATTAGGCAGTCATTGAAGACAGGGAGGGTATGTTATACTTATACCGATTCAGATTCATTATTTGGCTAAGGTTTTTTTTTTAAATGTTTTATATAGAAAAGAATGAACTAGATCTAAATGAATAATTTTCATAAAAATAGCTGGCGACTCGCACAATATTTAATAAATCGAGCAGTCGAAAACACAAAAATCATCAAGGTTTTCCTGAATTTAACTTTTTGTATGTTTTAGAGCACGTATTCTACCATACAACAAAATGAAGAATGATGGTGACTAAGAAGTTGATATTCTAGTTAACAAATGTTACATACGTGCTTAGAATACCAACAAATCTGCTGAATACAAAAAATGGCAAGCTTTCTTGTTATCATTAATACTTGGTATGAGACAAAGTATATAAATTAAGAAATTAAAATATAAATCTTATTAAGGCACATAAATGTAACGAGGTATCACAGCTCAGCTAATGGTTACAATAAATTACATCAAAAACAACCAAAACAATACTTTTTCAAAACTGAATATCAATAATATAGTGTCGTCTGGTCCATCTTGGATCACGTGATCAGAGTCATGTCGTCAGTGGGTCTGAAATAGGGATCACTTATGACGTATAGTTCGCTTGGTTTCGATGAGATCCCAGATACGAATGGTGCCATCATCACTGCACGTCACAATGCGTTCGTTTGAGACCTAAAAAAGACCGACTCCATGTCCATCATTTCAACACTAACTATTGTGACAGACTCGTTAATATGCAGATTAATTAACCATTAATGCAGAGCACACATTTGCATTCAGCATGAGCACGTGTAAACATGTAATTCATGAATATAGCAATTAAACTAGTTTTATTTTCATAATAAACGATTCAGAAGAGAAGTTTTCTATGGTGAGTCATATAGCCTGTGTTGACCTTCTTCCACAATTAAACTTTCAGCTGTCCTTTTTCGGTAGAACTATTTTCATGAAATATTTTATGGGCTGTGAGAGATGCCCCAGAAATTTATACACCGTTTGCAAAATATTTCAGCATAAGTCATTTTATGAAGTGTGTAAAGAATTTTGGTCTTTTCGAGTCTGCTCGCAAGAGTGCAGTACCAGTACTCAAAATAGAAAATCCAGTGCCAAACACGAGAGAAACATTGTCTTGAGTAACTAAAAGGACATTTATTCATTTACCATAGTCCTCGGGCACCTTTGAAACAGCTGCATAATGATTTTAATGATTTATTTTTTGGACCTTTAAAATGTTGGATTCTTTTGACAGAAATGTGTTTTTGTTGTCACCGAGTCTTTGATTTTCAACACGACTCCGAATTATACATCCAAATCTATATTCTTTCATAATTTCAAGGATGACTTTTACTACTAAATTTAGCTTTTTTGGTGGTTTCAAATAAACAAAATTGTGTGAAAGTTTACAAAAATAACATTCATCAATGTCAGAACCCAAAATGATTTTGCATATTCCCTTTTTATACAGTTTGCACACTTTCCATTCAACTCTATTTTTTTTCTGGTTTGCAGTGTATAGGTGGAATATCGAACTCTGTTTTTCAGTGAAACTTTCACTTACTATTACACTAGTAAGGCTATAAAAAAAGATTATCTTGGTTCTCAGGCCCTCCCTCATCTCTTTTAAGGGTGCCTCATTGACCCTTTTTATTGCTAAATCAATAAAATAAAAACAACAAATCACCTCCCTCATCATTTTCTTAGGTTTTGTACAATGTAAAAAGCTGCCTCATCAGTTTTGGGGGCAATAAAAAGTGAAAAAAAAAATGCCTCCCTCCCTCATCATATTTCTTGAAAAAAGGCCTGAGAACCAAGGAATTAATTTTACATGGCCTAAAGTAGAGTTTTTTTTAAAAATTTTTAATCTAGGATATATATAGAATTAATATGTGTACAGCTTTCAATTATGTACACTAAGGATTTAAATCATTTGCAGAGAAAAATGGGAAAGTTATTTCGCCTTTGAGTTGATATGTAGTTAATTATGTTTTGAATCTAATTACCTGTTATATTAAAAAAAAATCAAAAATACACAACACATAACAATGTTTAAAATATAGGAAATGAATTTTCACAATTGGGATATCTCTTCTGTCATCATTCTTGTTTTAGAAAATAATAAATATTGCATCTATAAATGTCATTCCTTTGATTTTAATTTTAATTAGACTTTCTGACATAACCTCCTAAATTACCTTAAATGATGTATTCATAATATAACAAATTTGAAGTTTATAAGACTCGGGGCCGTCCCACCGACGCAGCTATTCTCTCTCTAGAATTCACCAGTATCATCGTTGTGTTCTATTGATTCCACGAGTTGCTTTTTAAATGCCTTTGAACGCAAAACCCCCAGCATATCAGACTTTATCAAACCCATGATTATAAATATCAAAAAACAGTTGGTCTTTGAAGGTGTTCCTAAAAACCTCATCTTCGGATGATATGTTTCATGGCGTTATTTTTAAAACTTTCATGAATGAAAAAAATGTCTTCAATCTCTTCATACCTCTCTTGATTTCTATAGTTCTGAATATTTCTAGTTAGGGGTAAATTTATCTATTAAATGACGCGCAGTCTACAACAGTTTGTAGTTTTTTTCGGTCATTTATCTCAGAAAAAATGATAAAAATAATGAATCATGATATCCCCATCATTTTTTTCTCACATTATTGATAGAAGCGACTTTTCTTGGCTCTTCTTAACACCTCAAAACAGATATGATCATAACGGTGGGAGTCAATTTTTAACTTTTTTGATTTATGCCCACTGCAATCTCGTGGTTTGCTAACTCGAAACAAACATTGTGACTTGTTTCGGTATAAGAAGAAAGCAGGATAGATAATATCCTATCGAATTTCATCTCCCCCACTTAGCTAAAGGAATGCTAATTTTCACATGGCACAACGTGCGTCGCAAGACAATGGCCGATACTGCACCCTTTGACACTTCGAGTTACAGCAAGAAATGGAGAATGTCAACTTTTTAAATTTACCAATCAACATCAGATATTGGCAACCAAAGCAAAGCGCCATCTGCAGACCGGAAGTTAGAAAATACCGTTTATTCAATTGATGCTCATACATTTCTCAGCTACTCAGCGCAAGAATTTGACAAGATAAAGCTTTCAGCGTGCATTAAATATTATTAAAGATGATGAATATTTTTATTAGAATGATTAAGAGGGCACAGAGTTCCTGGCAGGGAGTTCTTGATAGATCATTAAGATCAACCAAGAATTATACTGAAATATACTTTCTTATCAAAGGAAAAATTGTTTTAAATATCAATTAACCGTATGTACGGATTTGATGTTTTATGCCTGATGCCTTATCATATCTAGTCTACTTCTTTATTAATAACTTGACTTGCTGCAGTAACAAGTGAATTATAAGTAACTTAAATGTTTTGTTTAAATAATGACTTTAATAGTTTTTTTTTTAATCAAAATGCTTTCGTTGAAGAAACACTGGATTTATTTCCCTGGTAGGTTTCTAATAATACTCAGAAATTAAAGAAAGTTAGGAATATATTTACTTATCAAAACAAATCAATATATTTCTGTATTAGTTGGACAAGGTCATCATCAAAAGAACCTTTTTTTCTACAAAAGGAGTGTCTATTTAAAATAAACAACCACCGATTAAAAAGTTGAAAACTCTGAATTTTCTGCTTTTGTTGACCAAGGTGTGTCCGGATCAGTAGAAAAGACATATATCGATCTGTCGGTGATTTACGTCTACTTACAACAGCTAACCTTGTGACCCTGAGACTGTCAGAATATGTCAGTACAAAACAACAAAAGCACAATATCACAACCAGATAGGGTTACAACCAGAAGATTTTGTTTACTGTTTATTCTTTGTGTTTGCAATGCACAAATGGCATATTGAAATCAGTTCCGCCTTTATCATTCCCAAGTAACCAATGTTTTAATTTTGAAACTTTAATGCCTCTATGTACATGTTTTTAGATGCAGGTACCGTACATACAGGGGTGCTGATTTTAAATTTAAAAGTCTTGGTATTTTCAGAAACATGAAATATCCTTCAAAAATGATGATATAGATTAGCAAAATCTGCACATGCACATATCGGTTATGACATAACTGTTTTGTTTGGTGGCAGCAAGGTAATATTTGGCGGCAGGTGCCCGACTGGTAACACTGACCCACGTGGGGGATAAACTTACACCCGAAATAAACGATAGGATCTAGTGTTTCAGCAAGGTGTTTCACATCATTAAACGCAAGTATGCACCAAAGAGGACCCCCCTCGCAAAGTTGGATCAGACGAATAATAGCGGGCAGGGCGAAGGTTAACGATTATGAGGGCTTATTTATAATCCAGAAAGAAAAGTTTTTGACAGATCCCATTGTTGGTGTGTATTGGAACAAAATCTTTGATCACTTCAATTGAAGGTTATTTCCGTCATAATAGGAAATATTGTCCGACTTCTCCAAAAAAAAAATAATCTTTCGATCATAAAATGAATTTGGAAAATTGAAAAATTAAAAGTCAGACTTTTAAGAAAACAAAGAAGATGAATTGAACATGTTACCTGCCTTTGTTCTTTACCTTTATAGAGTGATTTACTTTCATATTTCACTATAAATCAAGGCATGATTCACAGTGAACAATCGGAGGGAAACCCGTCAAAGTGTACATGAACTCTTTTAACACCCATTTCAAAATTTTAATTAACCTTCTAAATAAGTTGAGGAAGACTTTATTATATGTGAAGGAAACCTCATAGTTCGATATTTAATGACAGAAATGTGACCGTGAAAGTATGAATTATCTCTAATTATACTGTCAGCTAATTAAATTATACTTTCAAAGATACCTTGCAGAAATATTTCTTGGCAGGTTAATTCTTTTATTACACTTTTTTTGTTAAAAAAAACTTTAAAATGATCAAATGATCAAGTTATCTCAAAGCAAAGGCAATATTTTGACTTGATAATAGTCTTCAGTGCATTTCTGTGGATAGATTCCCTTTGTGTAGGAATTATTGTTAAAAATGAAGACTTCTTAACATGATAATAAAAAGCTTAACTATAATTTCTAAACTTATTGCACTATGAATATTTTTTAAGTATTGAAGACAAGTTTCTGGTCAATAAACTTTCAATTTCTTTGAAATCATAAACTTCATCCCCCCCCCAATTGCAATTGTTTTACCATATATGTTTTCACTTAATTTTTTTTTTACAATAACATTTCACTAAACTACAATGTTACAATGTGTGAGCTTCATGTTTCAAAGAATGGCAATACCTTTATTTAACTGGATCTGAGAAAATCTTATGAAAAATTAACATGGTAAAAAGGCTACCTAAGGATGGTTCCTTATCAAGCCTTTCAATGATTCTTAAATCTTGGAATTTGTTCCATTATTTTCATTTCCCTACCTTGACATCCCTGATGGGCCCCTTGTGACCTTGGAGAACCCTGACACTGGTCATGGTCAGTAAATCCCACTCTCTCACTGTGCAATCCCTGCAAGAAAAACCAGATTTATCTCATTTCACTTAGCACAGAAAATTAGGGCTACAAGAAATCTTCCTCTGTCATCAAGTTGCACGGAATACTTCACACCTGCAAGTACAGTATTGTTTTTATTTTCATAAAACTTTTCATGGCTTTTAAATTTTGAAAACTGTCCATGAAAATAATTACAAATTTATGCATGTAGATAATTTGGTGCCTCAGATGGCAATGACCTACTTCTAATTGTACCACATGAAATATTCAACAGTGACCTATATTCTGCACAATTTTGTATCAAATCAAACTGTACGCTGTCTGTATTGAAAACTTGATAAATTTCACTTAATGACTGGGTATATAAGAGGATGTGTTTAACCTATTCAAAAGGGGAAAGTTTAAGCTTATATCCGCTTTTGTCAGTTAACACAGCCAAACCTCATTATCTCCAACCCAAAGCCTAAAAAGGGCCAAAAATATAATTCAAGATATTAAAGAATTAGATATCCAGGGAAGAACAATAACATGTGGTTGGACTTCAAAATAACTTCAACATATCCATTATCCATGGTATTCATGATACATGTATAAGTGTTTGGGATATGAGGTTCAAGTATTGGTAAAAAGTTAAAATGGACTTTAGGTGGGCATTCTTTCTATGCCTGAAAATACAGGCTAAGTTTATAAAGGTAGCTGGCCCTAGACTTGAGGAACATTTTAACATTTCAGACAGCAAGTAATGTCATTTGCATTAAAATGACACAAATAGACAAATCCAGTTCTTTCTCCTCTCAAAAACACTGAATTAGTTTGATTTGTTACACCAAAGTTGTAGCAAATTAACTTGTATATATAACAGCACTGTAATTTATACTGAAAGAAACAAACCTTGACTGCCCTTGTCTATGATAAATTATAAGCAGAAAAACCATGCCTATACCTGAAATTTTATCAAGGTCTTTTATTAATATTTTCCAGGTCATTGGCATATGTCTCATTTTTTATAGAAGTTACAATGACATTAATGCCACACTTACTAAATATAATAAATGTTTTCCAATTTCTGCAAATTTCCTCGAGATTTCCTTTGACAATATAATTCATCTGTGGTTATCTACGAAGAAGGCTATACATGTATGTTTTATCCATGAAGCATGATTGTCAGTTTCTCTGCCTGTTTTGAACATTCATATACATAGTTTGAACAAATGGAATTTAAAACAAGCAATTGTTTGAATGAGCAGATCCTGCCCTATTTTTGGCAGTGAAGGGGAGGGGGTGCAAATGAAATGTGAATTAAAGAAAAAAAAAGGTTTAGATATGGTTAGAAAAGTTCTTTCCAGGGTTTTGCAGCATTTACTTGCTTCTGTTAGCTTACAATTTTTAAACCACATATCTATCAGATTTGAAGGCAAGATGGTTGAAAAAAAAACTGGATAAAATAAGTTTTAGAAGTAAAATTTGTTTATTCAAAATTGTTTCCAATAAAGAGCAATAAGGTTTTCATAAGAAACAAGCATTCTAAGAATTTGTGTAAGCAGTACTAATCCTCTATCAACAAGTGTAATCTGGTTCCCCTTAAATATTTAAAACAGGTTAATAACTTTTGTCAAAAATTGTTGATGCATCCCAAATTGATCTGTAATTCATCAAAATGCATATGATCACCTGCCAAAAAACAGCTCAATATCTGCAATCAAGTGTTTAGAAAAAAGCAGTGACGAAAACAAAGCGTGGCAGACTGACATAAAGATATAGACAGACAGATGGACAGACAACGAAGAATCCTATAGTACCCTCCACTTTTCCAGGAAATGGACTAATTGAGGAAAACATATCTTATGGATGTAAATATTGAAGGAAATTTCTTAATATCTTATTCAAATGAATCATTAGTATATTTTCTGCATTAGATTTACCGACTTGGTAATTAAACTTTCCCCTTTTAATCATTTTTTGCATTTGTTAATGACCACCCCAGAACCATGTCGTCATGTCCTATCTAAAGAAGGCCAACCTCTAAAACCCACATTGTCTATATCATTTATTTATATACCTTTGACATTTTCACTTTAAATTCTTTTTAATTCACAAGTTTTCTGACAAGTAGTTGCATTCATTAATTTGGGATGTTTTGTAACTGAGAACTACAGTGAGTATAACAGAACTAGAAAATGGTAATAAATTACAAACGTCAGCAGTAAGCACCTTGTGGCCAAAACAAAATGTAACAGACACAGTTTCACCGCATTACGATTCTTTGTATGAAATATGAGTTTAGAGCCCATAAATTTGAGATCAAGATAATATTTCTCTTAAGCTTCTAAATTTTCACATGTTCTAATTAATTTTGTAACATATAACAAGCAACCTACAAGATTGTTCGAGAATATTTTTTAGAATAAAATCTATGCTATCTAGCTTTTATCATTCTAGTGTATTATTTCATCCAAGATATATACATCTTTTTATATACATTCCATATATAAAATCTTGAGAAAACTTTTATGCCAAGGAGTTTTTTTTATTAAAATCTTTCTTACATTTAAAAATAAATAAAACCAGAAGTCTTTGATGAGACTGTAGCTCTATTGGTTTGTGCGTATATGTATAATAAAGGGAGAGAAAAGAAGTACTTGAACTTAAAATTTTGCAAAAGCAATAAATAGAATTACCAGTATGTATCTTAATGAACTTTACATCTGTGCCAAATTATATTGACATCAAACCAAAACTGTAGGAGCTAGCATTAAAGTTTTGAAAGTATTTCACAGTAATATCTATTTTTAGTAACCATGGCAACACCATTCATCAGTATAAAAAAACCCAGAAGCATTAATTATGTATCTTAGCATAGTCTACTTGTATGCTAAATTATATTGAAATTAGATCAAAACTGCATCAGGAGTAGCATTTTTTTTTTTTGGTCAATCAGGTTATAATGTCTCCATATTATAACCTGATATCAATTTCCAAACTTTTGTTTCCAGAAAGTATATAAATTTTTGTTATTGGTGCACCTAAACTGTTACTTACGAGGATGCTGTAAAGAAGCGCCCTTTGTGGAACGCCAGTTTGTTCACTGCTGCATCATGTGCCTGGATGGCAGCCTCACTTTCACCAGTCCTTGCATTCCAAAAATAAACATGTCCCTGTGTGTCAGAACTTAGCAGCAAGTCTCCCTGGATCTGCATAAAAAGAAGGTTCATGGGGTTATCATACATTCTTTGACATTTAAGCCTTCTTATTTTCTTTTATTTTTAAAATGTTCAAGAAATCTCTGCTCATAAACCTGTGATCCAAATAAAAATAATTAAACTTGTTTTTTCATTCAATGTAACCTTGACCTTTATAATGACCTTGGCTGAGAACTATATAATACCTTCTAGTCAAGGTATGCAAGCTTTTAAAATAACCTTTTCAAATGACCTTGTTGCATAAGGGTCATGATTAATGACAGTGTATAGCAAGAATTACTAACAGAGTGGTAACTTTGGCTTATTCTAGTGGGTTTGCAGTAGACCACTAAAATTTTAATTGCTAAAGAGCTAGGTTCACTTTATGCATAAAATGGCCCTGCATGTCCTCATATCAATTAATAAACTATCACTGTCTTTCCCATTTCATATATCAAAATAAAGTAAAGACTTAGTTCTTTCAATTCTTATAATAAAGGTTTTTTTTTTGTTGAGAATCAAAGTATTGGAAATGAGGCTTTCAGGAAATGCAATGTTCTTGAATTTTGTAGAAAACAGGTGTATTTGACTATCCTCAGCAAAGAATTAAAATATGAGCACAGCCCACTGTCCAAAAATTAAAACACGTTTTATGATCTTCAGAACCAGATCTTTCAGTATGAAATTGCATATTTTGGAACAGCAGTTGTGCTCTGTGTGAAATATTGAAAAAAAAAAAACTTCAACTGTAGGCCATTTTTAAAGGAATTTACAGTATATGGAGAAAAATTACACATTTTATGATGTCATAATGCATAAGCTAGAAGGAAAATACATCATGTTCAATAGATACATGGTCACCAATTGTCCAAGTGATGCATGAATACTGCATTTTCAACCTAAACTTGAGAAGTTTTAATTTTTCAGAAATTCTCAGGACCTAAAAAGGCCCGAAGAAGCTCTTGATTATAAGCTGAATACAAGAAAAATAACTTGAAAAACTTGGATCACTCTCTTGTTAAACATTATATCTTTCATCTGTTTATGGTATTTACCCAAACTAGCTTCTGCAAAAATCAGTACCAGGTATTCAAAGATTATTACATGTAACGCAATTCATCTAAATGATAAAATCCTCCCTTGCAAAGTCATGGAACTCTTTGTTGGCCAAAATCTGTTCCACCAAAATTATTGTCAAAGCTTTGAGCATGCAAAACACCAAATTTTACACCCACTGAAGGAAACTGCAATATAGACACCTAGAATCATACCAATCTCTTTCAAATAATCTACAAGCTGTTAATTTATTTTCATTACAGGTACAATGCCTACACACAAATAAGGAAAGTTTCAGATAGTAAAGACACACAAGGACATTCTTATTAGTCCAATTTTCAAAAATAACTTTAATTGAAAAATATTGGATCATTTTCAATATGCTGTATATAATACATTCCTTATCTTTTTATAATCAAGGAAGGAAAGTCATAAGACTTCAATTTTGACATCATATCCTGAAATTCATTTCGATTAACCAATGAAAAAATTTACGGAGTTTAAAAATGAATTTGCGAAGAACAAATCAATTTTAATTGTCTGAAAATGAATGGTAAAAATTGATCATACACAGCATTGCCTATGTGAAATCATCATAGTCAATGTTTACCTACAAAGGACATGTGCAAACATATTTTTGTGTCAGAAGTACATCTTGATGATATTATAAATCACTCAGAATGAATGCAGAGAGTATAATTTCTTTCTAATAATAAAATAAAATTGTCATAATTCATAAAATCGCAAAATTATTGCTCACAAAAAACATGAGTCAAAGGATCGTGCAATGATCAAAGAATTATGTAAAGAACAAAAATGTCTTTTAAAAAAAAAAACTCTAGAAGATGAAGATCTACTTTCAATATTAATGATTTTGAGATCAAGTTTGTAATATGTAGAAGTGTATTAACATTTCAAGCAATGACTGTCAATAATTCTGCGACACTTAATAACTGTAATTTATAAAAAGAGTAATTGTAATGTTACTCATCATATTTTGCCACTTCATAAATGTCTTTATTAGGGCAATAAGAATTTCTATATATTGAATAATAAGGTGTGGAGTCTTGTATTTATTTCTCTAGGTGTTCTAAACATGATCTATACCAGCAAAAACAATTTCTCAAACCAGATATCAGATCGAGAAGAAAATATAACAAGGTTTGATTAAATTTGGAAAAGCTCCACAATATTAAAGTGAAAAGTAATAAAAATCTAATTTTGAATATTACAAGGGTGTTACCTCATTTTCATAGTTAATATTGTTAGAAAATTGGCAAGCTACATTGCAAGATGTCATATAAGATGATCAATGAGTGGTAATGACGACAAATTAAAACCAATCTTTACATGTTTAATTCTCGTTAGTGGGAAAAAACGATCAAATAATGAAAATTCAGTCACTTTGACCTTGTAGTGTTTGACTTCTTTTCATAAGAATTTTGTCTTTTAACTTTACATTACAACAGACAAAAGCGATTGATTTTCAACCCCCTCATAAACATGTCAGCCAAATTAAATATAACTTCAGCAATGATGAGTTTATGGTCAGAGATTTCTGTTTAAAATTCCATAAAAAATTATTTATAACTTTTCAAATGATCAAATAATGGATTTTCAATTAACAGAATCCAATTTTCAAAATTATTCATTGTAAAAATTTGGACTGGTTCTTATCAAGTCAGTTCCTCAAAGAGACATTTTTTATTCTCTTGCTATCAGAATGGAAGTTAAAAACTTTACCAATTAAATGCAAAAAAAACTTTTAGAAATCTGTTTTGTACATTGTTATTCATTGGATCACGCTCCATTTCTTAAAAAAGAATTCCATCTGATGTCAATAAGACAGATTTGAACTTCTCCAAATTTTAGGAAGTGATATACATGTCTCAATTAATAAATTACGGTCACCATACATCTTGATGTACAAAAAATGACTTGTTTATAATTTTTCTGATATAAAATTTTCCTCTCCAAAGATAAAATATATATGCTCATACTTACATGATGGAAATTCAAGTGTTTAACTGACATATTGGATAAAGTAATTTAATTATTCTAATCCATACTTAACTGGACAGAAAAAATATTCTAAAGTTCTTCCAACAAAATAAAGAAATGTAAGAAATTAAGTATTTCAGTATTATGTTAATTAATGGCCAAAGAAGAAGTTATTGTCTGATAAAGGTTTAACGTCATTTTACTGGAAAAAAATGAAGTTAATCCAGATGACTTTTGATCATAGATTTTCAAGTGCACTTTCATGACGGCATAACATGATGGCATAACAACAGGCCTGACTTTTCTTGTCAAGATCCACCCATGTTCTTACCAAAACTGACAAGACCTGGTTCTGGCCATTCTCAAACACGTGCAAACACTGCTCGCTCTCAACGTTTGTCAGCCGTAGTGTCCTGCAAGTATTAAAAAACAATGCAATCAGAACCAATATTAAGCAACATTTACTGAAAGAAACTTCAAAGACATATATCAAGTAGTTTCTCTCAAATATTTACAAATACATCTTATCATAACCACAGCCAAATTGTTTACATGGATCTGTCATTCTGTAAAACTTTCAAAAGAAGCAAGCTTGTGGGAAGAGGTGCCCACTTTACATTATCTATGATGAGAGTTAATAGGAAAGAGTTGTAGCGATCTAAACAATTCCTCTGATACATTAATTGATAGTGACAGACAAAGAGGGCAGCCCTGGCTGACCCCACTCAAGTTTACAAACAGCTCTCTGTCAGAATTAAACAGCTCTTATACAATTAGTGGGAATCATCAATACAATTAGTTTTTCTGTGCACATATCACAGTCTAGATGATTCAGTGCCCTTATAGCACACACTATCAGTAGAATGGGAAGGGCCAAATGTTCTTTACTTGTTAGCCAATATCATTTTCTCTGATGTATCTAATATTTCAACCTGTATATATCATCCAAATTCTTTCTCAATGTTTTACCACTAACTTGTCATAAAGAGGAGAATTGGTTATACATGTAATCACTGTGAATCTGGCAATTCTAGCCAGTAACTTTACTTACATCAAAACAAATGTTAAATACAAAAAATTATATATTTTGAATGCATAAACATGCTTCAAGTTTTCTCTCATTCATATTAATAAAAATATTTCCTTGGAATGTGTTATACAATAAATCCTGAATAACTTTTTGTAAATTTCCATTTTGCCGCAATTTAGAATTCAAAAGAATTGAATTTATCTTAATATTGATGGAATGCAGTACCTCACACAAATAAAATTAAAATGGTATGCTAAAAGCAAATGAAAATGGATTTAATATGCTAAAATACATATAAATACAGTACTAAAAGACCACAAAACTGTATGAGTAAATGTTCAAGCATGATATAATATTATATGTTATGTCCTTAACTTGTCAAGGAAAGTATCAGACTATTAAAGGAGCAAGAAAATTCAAGGCTAACCATCATAAGACGAATATTTGAAATGATTATGAGTTTCCGTCAGATTGTCATAATTTGGGCTAATTGCCTTGTTAAACCATACAATGGAGTATCCTCCACTTGTCAATTATATGTTCAACTGACCTAAACGTATATAAACTATACCTCTTCCCATTTTTAAATAGAATATGATATATATAGTCTTTCTTAAATACTTTATTAAGGAACCATGTGGACATTTTTCATATATTTACACAGATGCCCATTTATGAATGACCTGGTTTGTTTCTATTGGTGGGATCTCTTCCTTCCTCATCATGTAAAACAAACATTTGGAGTAATTAAATCATATATGGCACAGCCATTTGTAAATACAAATTCCTAGACATACAAAATAAGCCCAGCCATGACTCACCAGAGACCAACATTACACAACAGACCAAGAAGTTTTTCTTCAGCCCCCCTGCAGTTGGTTGACAAATTGTATGTTTTGTTTTAATAGAAAAAAGTTTACAAATGAAACATATCATTTCTCTTTGCATTTATGAAAGAATTTTCTACAAATGATTCAAAGAAAGCTATGCGTCACAAGATGAAATACCCTGTCATAACATGCTACTTAATTCATGAAAAAATACTATTTATGCAATTTTTTTTAAACAAAACTGTATACATTTTCATTTTCAAGAAATCATATAACCACAGAAATTTATATATATATACATATATTTTTTAACAAAATAAATAACCATAAATGCTATCTGTGTAAACACATACAGCCCCAAATTTCAAGATAAATATATGATTACAATGTACTATTATATGAAGATCTTTTTGTTATAAATTAGCATAATTTTTTATTCTTATTTTGTTTTGCATTTTATTTTTCTCATTTAAAAAAAAAAACATTAAAAGATAAACATGTAAGTTTACATCTTAGGACATTTTTATCATAAAAATGGCATTAGTTCTTTTTAGAAATAAAAGTCAAATGTTAATTAAAACATGCAAAAGTATTCTAATTGGGGAATCTTAAATGAGGCATTCAAATTAATGTCAGTTGCTTAGTTTCACTGCAATTAATATAGTAAGAAAAAACAAAAATCAAAAACTTTCGAATCAGCACCTGTACCTCTCTAGGTCAACTGAAGCTTGCATGAAGAAGTTTATTCAGGTTGATACGACCATGACCTAATTAATTTTCTTAAAAATCTTAGAAATAAAGGTAGACTAAATCCTGTGAATGAATATTTTAAGAATGAGTCACTGTTGAAAAATGACCGTCTTCAGGAAATATTCAAAACCCTTTCTAAAATGTGCTGAAAATATGACAAATGGTATTGTATGTGTCAGTGTAATGTGCAAAGAGCATGGAAGAAAAAAAAATGGCAGGATGTTTTTGCAAAGGTATAGAGGATGCTAATCAATGCGTTACTTGCATATCAATTAAAAATATCAAAGGTGCACCTGTGGTTATTAATGATTTTTTTTTAAATGTTGTTTAAAAAAAATAAAAGCACTTATAATTAATGCTTGACCCAATAATTTTTCTTTCTCAAAGCTAGGGAATCTGACTTCAGTTTTCCATTGACATGCATACATACACACTGTTTTTGTCTTTCTATGTAAATGTTAAGAGTGCAGATTGGCAATTTTTTTTTTTCAACAAAAAAATGATGAGTCTTAGTATTAAAAAAAAAAAAAGAAATAGTCACTGGTATTAGATAGACATGTCCACAGTGAGAAAGCAGTGCATGTGATTATGTCCTATATATGTCTAAGTCTATAAATTTAAAATACTTTGGATAATTACAAATATCATCCACAAATTCATATTTTGTTAATTGTCCACTTCTAAAATGCAACAACATTTCTGTGTACCTGTCAAGTACCTGTCAATATACCTCCACTCCCATCCCATCTCCAGTAACATGCCCCCCCCCCCCCCCCCAATTTCTCTCAATCTGACTTATCTACACCAATTCTAGATAAATGAGCATGACAAAGTGGGAATTTTCAATAAAAAATGAAATGGATTATAAATGATTGCACTTTTCCTTCAACATTGCAAACTCATTAATTACATCAATCGACTAATTAGTTACATGTATGCTAGGATACCTAACAACAGAATAAAAGAATGTGGCAAGCCAAAAGAATGCCAATTTTTTTTCCTGTTTTCCCATTCCATCACATAGCATTATTGGTGATTAAAATTCTTCAGACAAAATCCCCTAATTCTTTAATTGAACAGGTGGGAAAACTCTTTCTTAATATTTTTATTAACCTTACATACCAACTTTGAACTTTTCATTGTGCTCTAGCTAATCCAAAATCCATTGTTTTATTGTTGAAAATGAAGACATAAAAATAACTCTTATTATTAGTTTTCAATTACAATATTTGATAGAGTGATGATGTATGAGGTAATTTGCATTGTTAGATATGCAAGTTATAAATCTGTTTTCTTGGCTCAAGAAAAAAAAGAAGAGGTACATCAGTTAAAAGTGGAAAGTGAAAGAAAGATAACTCGACATTCAAATATAAGAAAGACAGTGCTGGCCAAAAGTTTGATCAGAGGCCAATATCTTGAAAATACAATTGGTTACAAACACTTGTCATCTCTTGATTCAAATAAAGTAAATAAATACATGTACTCCTAACTTCTTATAAAAAACTTCAATAATTAGGAATCCCTTCCTGTTAGGTAAAATCAAAGGCCTGAAGGGCCTGCGAGTTGACTCGCCTGAGTCAATTGAGCTTTTTCATACATCTGGGCACCATACCTTACTATATTCAGTTTATTTTGCATCTTAAGAGATTGAATATTACATGTCTGATCCATGTTCGGTTCATAAATAAAGTGTATATTGCTTTTCCTTTATATATACAGGTTGGCACTAAAGGCCTTCCGTATTATTTTGACTGGATTCTTTAATGAATTTAAGCACATTAGCTGAAGTGGTCAGTGTTATGGAATAATTAGGTTAAAGATTCCCACAGCAAATCTGGATTCTAAAAATAGATTTTCAACAACAACTAGCTGCAGCTAATGCGAGCAGCAGGTGTTTGTGTTAGGGAGTATTCTAGGTCAATTATAAATAAACTTAAGATGGGAAGATTAGATCCACCTAACATGCTTGAACATATATTCATACGCAGTAATTGCATGTACATCGTACTACAGATATTAAATCAAAAATTTCTTTAAAAGCATGAAGGCATAAATAATGTTACAGTATGAAATTTTATACAGTTTTTACCTCTTAAGTTTATACAATCACTCAAACCAAAGCATTTTTTGCTAGAACTATTATGTTTGGCGTATGGATCACCTTGATGAATGTGTGAGAAATTTTACAGCTCTGAAACGGCTGCATCAACAGGGAGTAGCTTGCTACGCAAACCAACTCAAAAAATCCAAAGTTAGTCCTACAAATAATGAAAGATGGTACCTAACCATTTTATCTTTTTTATATATTATTAATTACAGAGGCTGACAAATACCATTGCTTGATGCCTGTGACTCGTGAAATTTAAGGATGGGCAAGTGAAATTTTATCAACCACTTGGCCATTGGTAAGTGACTTGAAAAAAAAAATAAAATCCATAGGTAAGTCTTAGATTTAAAGCTTGGCACAGGGGCTTGCATTTTCTACTCAGTATTTGACTTTTATTTTTTTTTAAACATATATAAATTTGGTAATAGTATATGATGGTGCAAGCAATTATTCAGGTATGGCAATTTTTGACCATGCACTTGCCCTTGCACAAGTGCCTAAAAAATCTATTTGTCAGCATCTGATTTTTCACAAACTTAACAGTCTAACTAAAATGAAGCATTTTATTTTTTTCTGCATCTTCAATAATGATTTTATATTACTCTGGGATTTTAGGTATGTAAAGAGGTATAACTCTGCCTTTAGACCACACATAAAGCCAGATTGTCTGCTCTTTTTAGGCAATCCCATTGCAAATACTAAGAAGTCTTGTTCTTATATGTCAAGGCCATTATGTATAATCTTAACTTTTGTAATTCCAGGTGCTGTTTAACTACTGCACTTATTAAACTTACATGTCACTGGAGCCTGTGACAACACATTCCCCGTCATAATGCAGACAATGGATGCCAGACTTGTGACCCGGCTCAATTGTCTTGTAGTGCAGAAAGGTCACCCTGTGCCACAACTTCACTGTCTTGTCGTGTGATCCGGAGAGTCTGCAATTGTCAATTAACAGCTATGAGGTGTAACTCTGACATGAATATACAAGGACACATCCAGGAAGGGGGAGGAGGATAGGGTTCACCCCCCCCTTTTAACAACAAATTAATTATGAAAGATAAATAATAGAAGATTTATAAACTCTCTGCAGGTTTTTTGGTTTATGTTACTGAAAAGGACACTTCTCTAAATTAAACTGCAGCCAAAATAGTAAGAACACAACATTTTGCATTTTTAAATCCAAAAAAGGTGCTGGATTTCCCCTAAAATTTGGATGTCATTTAATTCCCCACGATGCCATAAAAAAATTATTGCTTTACCTTTTTGGTCCCACCAAATACTGAAGATAGGAATGTAATGTCTAATACCCAAAGACAAAGCATCATGCTAGTCCAATTAAGGCAAAACAAACTTACATGTACTTATGGTTCATCTGTACACAAGAGACACAGCCTCTATGATCATCCAAAACAGCTTTCTTCTCAAACGCTTTAAGATCCCACACCTATAACAAATCCAAAAGTAACATCATCTCTTTATATTTCCCCCTCAGACTGTCTTTTTGAGATATAATCTAGCTTCACCACCAAAACTAATATGTTAACCACTGTAACTTGGTCTGTTAAAGTACAGTAGATGAAGTAGATTTTCAATAACATAGGTAATCAGAGATTACAGAGCTCACCTCAACGAATGTTGTCTTTAGGTAAGGCAAAGTCACACAATTAACCAACAAAAAGTTACACATATTAGAAGCAATTTTGATCTGATACTTTGAAATGTGTCTTCTTCATGAAAATGTAATGAAAATCCAGCATCTGAAGCAGATGAGTGTGTTGCCTTCAAATTGCAAGTTTGGTTTATACAATGTTATATAAGCCTTATAAAAGTAAAACATTGATTTCAATGTATTCCTTTTAACAAAAGTGTACTTAGATGTATCATCCATGCATTGCCAAGTTTGCTATTAAACCTGGAAATCAATAACACATTTTAATACTTGCATAGGACTTATCCTTAGATGTTTCATCTATGCAAGATTGGTCATTAAAGAACCATATTGGAAATTACAAAAATCTTACCTTGTGTCCGTAGAATTTGTGTATACTGCAAGTTTGTCAACACTTAAAGTTACTTGCAAATGAAACCTGCACCAAAAACATTATACACCGGAAAATGTGTCAGATTCAGCATCCGAAGCAAGCCCGATATCCTTGGATGTATCATCCATGCAAGTTTGGTCAACAAGTGTACACACACACCACCCCAAAAATGTTAACCTGCTCCAAAAACATTAACCTGGTCAAAAAGTGGTCATTCCTTTGCTGAAATTGCAGCATCTGAAACTTTGTCTGGTACAATGAAACACACTTAAACCATCTTTTGTCTAATCAGTATAGGACACCCTCCAAAAAACTTAACCTTAACCTGGACGCCGAGAGCTTGTATCACTCTCTTCGTTGAGGTGAGCTTGGTTCTCCTTTCATTTTCTGAAGAACTACTTACAATGAGAGTTGTGTCCCATGAGCCAGAGATGAGTGTGTTGCCTTCAAATTGCAGACATCTTATTCCACCCTAAAAAAGTAAAACATTGATTTCAATGCTTCCTTTTAACAAAATAGTTAATGCATCAATCTGGCTGCTATTAAACCTATCAATGACACATAATACTTGCAATATATTTTAAATACCTTGTGTCCGTAGAAGTAAAACTTATACACCTGTCCAGACCGGCCGATATCAGGCGCTTCTTGTCAAAGTGTACACACACCACCCCATTCATGTGGCCCTGGAGTTTACGTACTCTCCTGACACTTTTGACCACCCCCATGTACCGCTGGACTGAGAGTTTGTACTCACTCTCTTCCTCTTGGTTCTCTTCTTTCTTCCATTCTAAGTGAAAATTATATGACCTTTATGAATTTAAATCACTCCACACAAATTCTGCAAAATCACCATAAAGGATAAAATTACACAGCCAACAATTTAACCTTTATCAAAAAGGATTGAAAAAGGACATCATAGGGAAAATTGATTCCACAGTATCTTCTTATAAAACTTTTTATTTACTGTAAATCACTTATTTGACATATTTATAATGAGATACCAAAGTTAAGCTTTAACTGTAAACAACACAAAATAGTATAAATCTCCTACCAGAAGGTCATCTGCCTGTACAAGGTCAGTTCTGACATCCAGAGCCACTTCATCCTTTGGTTTCCTGGGCTGGGGTCTCTGTTTTACCATAGATCTGACCTCCCTAGGAAGAAAAATTTACTGACTTATAATTAATCATGTAAGTAAATTTACAAGCTCTCAGTCTCATGTGTCCAGTGTTTGCCTAGGTAATGTGACTGCCTAAAGTTTGTTTTCTTCGCAGTCATATTGAAGAGGCAGAGTAATATCCCTGGTTGTGCAGTAAATATAATGATATAAAATATGATACTTACAAAAGGTCATATAAATTATTAAAGAAACATTAAAGTTTATATTTTCCTGAATGTTGCAGGATAATTAACAGCTGAGGATAAGAAATGTTGAAATATAAAAGCCGGGAATCATAATTGTAAGAAGAAGGTACAGTTTTAGCTTTATTGTGCCCTAAAAATTTAATGTTTTCAAAAAGATTTGATACTGGCTCAAATGTTAGTTGAGTTAATGACTAAGACAGATCAGGAAAAAATATAGCATAAGGGAGTTCCATTCCGAAATAAATATTTGATGCATTTCATTGATCTTTGTGGGCCCACGATATGCAAAATTCAATGAAAAATCATATATCTCAAAATCTTTGTGGGCGATGCCTGTAGACACTTAAATATCTGAAGGAAAATTCCACTGAAAATTGGTGTCTTCTGCAACTTTTAAAGAAAATACCGGAAAATGCATATGTTTATGACATTACAATTAGTATTTAGAAATGCATGTGACAAAAATAATTTGTAAAACTTTTCTGCATGGAATTTCAATAATTCAGAAAGCACAAGTTTTCATTTTTTACATCAGTTTCATATTCAAGAAAATCACACTGGCAATATTTGTATTGAAACCATACTTTGCTCTTTGTGGGGAATCAATGTTTGTGCGTAAGCAAATATTTTGTTGGTAAAAGGGGGCTGAATTTCATGGATAACTAGATTCAATGAATAAATATGTTGAAAAATAATTTTTTCTGAGGATCCATAATCATGAATACCATGTAAATATTAAAATGATACATGTATCTATTACCATTGACTCCAAATAATGTTTTCTAAATTTAGCCATAACTTCTTTTTAAAGTTATATAACTTTATTTATACTAACAGTTATGTAAGAATCTTTTCCTAATTAGCACATTTTGGTACAAAAAAATCAAACCACAAATAGAAATTTAATTTTATAACCATTAAAATGAAATTATGTTTTTTTATACCATGAATCAAATTTACGAAAAAAAATTCTTTGTCCGATATTAAATACAATCCTTTTTTTTTGAGAAAATTCTGGAATCCTTCTTTCCTTTAATTTGTTTTTATCCTCTAATGTTAACTTGTGGTTGTAGCCTTTAATGTTCCTGAAGCATAAGAGAAACTGGTTAATCCTCTGGTCTTATAAAAGACCCAGATACACCACAAGACCGAGACAGACAGCATATTAAATAGTCTGAGAGAGAAGACAGCTTGTTATTAACAATTACTCAGACTCCCAGTTTCTTGTGAACCCAAATTATGGAAGAAAAACATTTATTTAACATCATGAAATTGACCATTTCATAATGATCATACACTTTTTTGTCACAGTTGACAAAGATATATTCTATTGGAATTCATTTTTTTAAATAATTTTTAACCTTGAATTTTTAGTAAGAGGGCCATAAAGTAGAGTACCTTTTCACCAATAATTTAATTTCTACAGCATAATTTCTCAGAGTGATATAATACTGTATCAGTATCAATGTCTACTGAGTCTTCAGTGCAACCTTAATATTTAACCTTGTCCTCATGCCATTTTCTACTAGGACTTCCTTATGAAGTAGGTGGGTGGTGCTGAATTTAAGGTTGTATGTGACAATACAACTTGTTTTTAATTAACTTATTCTCAGATTCTGTATCTGCCTAAATTTTTCTTTTATCTTTGACAATTAACTGACACTATTTGTGCACTTTAATGTTAATCTTCTTTTAGTGCAAAGAGGTAGTTTAATGAAATGTGGTTATTTCAACTGATATATTTGAAGATTTATTTAAACAATAAAATGCTTTCTTTGGTTGTTAGTACAGCAATAGCTGCGATATTCATCAAGTACTAACAACCAAAGAATTACATTTTATTGTTTATATTTATATCTATTGAAATAATCATTTAAAGTAGGATTAAAAAGATTAATTATTGCATTAATGATACGAACGTCTTTGAACGTTTCATTGATGGAACAGCCAAGGATCAAGAAATCTGTTCAGGTGACATGCCTAGTGTAGTTCATGCACTGATTAAGGCAATCAGTTTTCTTCAGAAATAAAGGAGGAAACATTCAGTGGATGTAAATATTCTTAATTTCTGTTAATTTTAAAATACATGTATATTACAGAATTATTGTCTGATGGTGTGCATTTTGATTTTTATAATAATTGTCAAACTCAATCTATACACCTCTCAAACGTTGTTTTGCATTCACCCCCTTTTTTTAAAGGTGTGTTAACAAAAAGATGTACATGTACAGTAAAACACGTTTAGTACGAACACGGATATAGCGAATTCACAGATATAACGAAGTTTTTCTGGGTCCCCGGCAAAATTCTTAACAAATCTTTTTAATATTTTACGGTTATAACGAACTCTGATATAACGAATTTACGGATATAGCGAACTGATTTTGAGTCCCGTTGAGGTTAGATATAATGAATTTTACATCTTTTATAACGAACTTTCAAAATTTGAATAATTGAATTGACTTTATTTTCTCTCAGCATTTGTATATAAAATTCAATTCAAAATAAAACCTTAGTTATCGAATGTTATGTTTTGTAACATTTGCTTCCCTAACATATTTCATAGTAACACTTGAAGGAAAACATGCATATTGTGAATTCGCTATATATGGTTATACAAATTCTTTATACGGATATAACGAATTACGGATAAAGCGAATTAAATTCACAGGTCCCCAGGACTTCGCTATAACCGTGTTTTACTGTATTCTCTTCTACAACTGCTCAAGCATAGGAATCAAAAATCGAAAGTTCTAAGATTTTTCCAGTGAAACTGAAAATTACCTGAGCTTTTTATCGATAATTGATGAAAATATAACTTCAGATCTAAAGTCACATTTAGTGAAGATGTAAATGATAGTTCTGTGGCATGGAAATTCAGGTTGCATTAAATCAATTTTTTTTTAATAATCTTAAAATGAAGTTGCAATTGCTGTGCTTAAGAGATCACAGGCAAAACTATGGCATGCCAAAGTCACAAAAATGAGCTAAACCTAGTTTCACAATTGATAAACTATGTTTATCGACTGTAAACTATAGTTTACAAATCGTGAACTATAGTTAACAATTCGTTAACTATAGTTAACAATTCATTAACTATAGTTTTCAACTGTAAAACTATATTTAACGGTTGTTAACTATAGTTTACGAATGCTAATCTAAGTTTATCTGTCTGTAATAAAACAATAACAATAGATTTTGTTATAAACATAGATTCACGTCTGTAAACTATAATTTTGATTGTAAAATATAGTTAAGAGTTGTAAACCATAGTTTACAAATCGTGAAACTGTATTTATCAGATAATCTATGTTTTGTGATCGCAAATGATTGTTTTATGTGCTAAGTATAGTTTATGGTTGTGAAACATAGATTATTGCATTAACTATGGTTTACAGACGTAAAATATAGATTAACATTTGTTAACTATAGTTTACAGTCCTTAAACTATAGTTTACAACTGATAAACCTAGTTTATCAACTGTGAAACTTTGTTTTGCTCATTTTTGTGAATTTGGTGTGCCAAACAAAACAGACAAAAAAATCTTCCATTAAATAATTTTTTCACGTTATCCTCGATATAATTTAAAAGTAGAATTTGAGTGTGCGCAGGAAAAATATAGTGCTGCCTTGATAATCTGGATGTCAATATTTTGAAACCTTCATCTTCCAGATGCAGTTTTTGGAATTTCCAAAAGATTACCAAAGATTACTGTAACATGAATATAAATTGTTTTCCAGGAAAACAATTTATATTCAAGTTACAGTAATCTGGACACTTCTGTGTGACTGTAATAAACCCCCAACAACAATTTTTTAAAAGTTTCTATCATCCCCTACCTAACATCAGTCTTCTGTCTCTGGGTTTTGAATCTCTTCTTCTCGTCCTTCTCTCTCTGTTTCTGCTCTTTCTGGTGGTCTGCCTCAATCTTTTCCAGTTCTTTTGGCTTGTCTTCTGCACCAGATTTCTTCAATGGCTTCCAGTGGGCCTGGGATGCAGTCTGTTCTCTTTCATCTATAAAATTGTATACATGGATATTTGCTTTCAAAAAATGATTTTTGCTTCAAATTTTATAGCTGCTTAAAAACATTGCTTATTGGTTAAAACCAAAGATAATAAGCACTGCCCTCAGATTTACCTGGTCTGTCTCTTGCTATGAAGGGATCCCCCCCCCAAAAAAAATTTACTTATTAGTTAATTTTCAAAAATCTAAATTCCTACTAAATGAGTTTTACATGTACTATTATGATAACATATTTAAAACATTATGCAGGTTTTGTAAACTTCCAAATTAGAAACAGTTTTCTACAGGTAATTTACCCTCACAGCTACCAACAAACAGACAGACAGACAAACCTGTCTCCTCCCCCTCCTCCTCTTCACAGGCCTGGTAGATAAAATCCCCATACTGAGAGAGGTCCTCATCTGACACATCTTCCCCCTCATCGCTCTTCTCCTCTTCCTCTTTTTTACCCCCTGCTGGCCCCTCCTTATTTTCCCTCTTGAATTTGATGGCATATCGTTCCCTCTTTCTGGCCTCCTCTTTCTCCTTCTTCTCTGCTTCTTCCTGTTCAATCACGGCCTGGGTTCCTCTTCTTACCTCAATGTCAACTGTGGATGAAACATTCCAAGAGATTATTATAAGTTAGAATCAACTTACCAAATTAAATAAACACCAAATCCACCTACAGATTCACATTCTACATCTTGTAAATTTAATAGGTCTACAAAAAAAATTCAAAGAGAATATAAAAACACGTAATTCATGCATTTATAATCTTATTCAAATATACCATCCAGTGCATTTAAATATTAAATGCATGGCACATTACTTGCTTTTGCATTAGTTAGCAATTAGTTCAAAGTCTGAGATATAAAAGTCAGTTCTTTCTTGATTGTTTCTTAGACAGTACTATAAAGTCACACACACAAATATATATAGTATATTAAAAAAAAAATTAATTGCTACAGTGCATTTTAAATTAAAAAAAAAAATGTTACAAAACTCATTTGATCTTCCAAAGCCTTTTATGTATTGAAAGTCTGATATATTATGACTTTCTCCTTCATTTCTCTTCCACTGAAAGAAACGTACAGTCTTTACTCTCCTTGTACCATTCTGGTATTATGTGCATGCAAATGATTTTAATGAGATTATATTCTATACAGTGTATAGTGTAAAGCTTTATTATGGTGGTATACATGCACAAATTAACCAGAAGTTTCTAATGAGACTGTATATATAGCTCTACTGCATGGTTTGTATTTTTAACAATGGACATGATGGCAGAGAAAAGTAGCTTTTACATTTAAAACTACGCAACAGCAATAAATAGAATAATGGTCCTTGATTTAGTTGCTTTGTCCAACAATTTATTGCAATTAGATTGAAACTGTTGGAGAAGTAACCTTCTGAAAGTATTTAAACAGTACAATAAAATAAAAAACTCATGCAAAGAATATTTTTAAAGTGTAGTCCGCTACACTTTATTGTGCTATTTATATTGAAATTGGACAAAAACTATAGGAGGAACATCATTTTAAAGAAATTTCACAGAAATTTAAATCAAAAATCAACATCGAATTATGTATCTTAGTGTAGTCTACTTGTGTATTATTTTATATTGAAACAAGACCAAATTAAACCACTACGACTCCTGGAGCTCTTTCAGTTTATTTCATTCCTTTATTCAATATCATCTTGTTCAAACGTTTGTGCAGATGTATAGTAGTAGTCATTTGTATTTGTACAGCAAAACTCGTTTAGTATGAACACTGATATTGCGAACTCACGGATATAGCAAAGTCATCTTGGATTCCCAGCTATATAAATTTAACGAATTCCTTGTAAGGATATAACGAATTAATGATATAGCAAAGCATTATCACAGGTCCCAATGACTTCATTATAACCGAGTTTTAATGTATTTCATCTTTTTATCTATATAGAACAGTGTATTATTTAAAATTGGAATTATTTTGATTATTGGAATTTGGGGTTTTCAAGAAAAAATCCCTTAGTTAGACTAACTTAGACAACTAACAAGAATTTCCATTGCATTTTGTGTTATTATTTGACTAACTTAGACAACTAACAAGAATTTCCATTGCAAATTGTCTTAGTTTGACTAACTTAGTCAACTTACAAGAATTTCCATTGCAAATTGTCTTAGTATTTGACTAACTTAGTCAACCAACATGAACATTTCTATTAAAATTTAGTTTAGTTAATAGTTTTAGAATTTAAGTTTTTTTTCTATTTATTTTATAATTATTTTGTTTTAAATCATTTTATTTGTTTCTGGAATGTTGTTTGTGCTGGTGTTCTTTTTTTTTTTCTTTTGCATGCATTTTATTTTTTGGACTTTGCCAAAAGTCAAGGCTTAGTCAGTTTTTTGTCAGTCTCAGCAGGGTTAGTTAGCGCACGCGTAAATGGGGTTAGTCATGCCAGGCACAACTAACCCCCCCCCCCCCCTACTGCGCATGCCTGGCTACTTTCTAGACTAATCGTAGATTTTGATTAAAAACGTTCAAATTAACATCCAGTCCTGAATAATGTTCAGTAAATACTCTCAAAAGTTTCCAGAATCCTCACCAGCTTGCGTAAATTTCGTAACTCGTAACGTATTTCACACTCATTGTCTCAAACGCCGAGGAAGATCGGGTTATTTCGTTCTCTCCAATATTTTCACTAACCTTGCAGTTTGCATTCGAAAAATCCCATCCTTCGCGTTAACATTGCCAAGAAAATGCTGCAGTAGATAAAGATATGTTAGCAATAGGAAAACATGCTTTAAAACGCGGAAAAACACGAAGATATGTAGCCTCCTTCGATCTCAACACAGCCAGTGCAGACACAGTTCGGCGTCACTTCCGCTGTGACGTCAGATTCATTCGTATTCAATCGTAGCTACTCGGCTATTTCCGAAATCCTCTTCGGGTCTTGATCTCCGATACGGAAAAAGACGAGTTTGATCCGACCGCCCCTGCATTGTGTAAAAGGAATATTGGGGTTCAATTCATTTGTAACATACTTTGGACAGTGTTATCCAATATTTCATTAAATGTTAATTGATAGATATACATAAAGACTTGTGATGAGATTACTTCAAAACACATATGAATTAGTATTAATCCACAATATTAACGTACCTTTCTTTTGCAGCTTTACGTTGTACATCACAGGTATATAACTCTGTCTCTCTAATTGTTCACAAAACTGTTTGTTCGTTTCAGTGTTGAATTTAGTTTTTTTTCCTGGTGAAGGAAGTTTATGTTCAGATGTAATAATTATTCTAAAAACATATTGAGATAGAGGTGTAAAAATAGTACTTAGTATATAATTTCACTGTCAGTTAAGAGACGCATTTTAGACACAGGTACTTGTGTAGAAATATTCAAAAATCATATACAATATTTTGATATAAAAAGTAATAATGAAGGTGATTGGAGGATTCTAAATGTGTGGGAATCTATCTATTCCACGCATAAGTTAGACGTCCAAATATTTTCTTCTCAGATACGTTTTATTTCTTTCTCTCTCTCCACTTGGCAAAAAAGGGGGTTCCAATCCTCGGACACCCCCCCCTTTTCTGTATCCGCCAATGCCCACCATTTTATAATATCGAAAGATTTGAAGCTACCAAACTCTTATCCGGAACTCCTACTACATTTGTAAAAGGATCTGCCTAGCTGGTTGAAATTTTGACGTCCATGTTATGCTACACTATATACACCCAGTTTCGGTGTAAATTGTCAAGAGCGCATAGATCCTTAGATACTAGTATCTGACATTTGAAAATTTTGATTTTTGTTCGTTGTAAATGTTTTTTTTTTTAAGTCTATAGTGATACTATGAAATATTTATTATGGTGTATCCTTATTTATTTGGAGTTTTGGACGAAGGGCTGTGACGAGTGCAAAACACTCAGAATACACCAATCCATCATAAATAAAAATTTCAATAACTTTCCGGTATCATCGCCAATCAAACCTCATGTCACTTATTTTCATGCATGACTTTTAATTGTACAATGATGTAGTTTTTGTCAAGTGACCGCACAATCTCTTCTTCCTACCAGTATTTTACGTTTGTGCGTTCATAAGAAAGACAGAACAAAAATTCGAAGTTGAAGAAGGAAAATTCAGGTGTTGTTCGAAAATCAAGAAAAAAAGATACCCGTTATTCGAGAGCTGTCGCATCACGACAACTCTGTATCAGGGCGAATAACTCTAAATCGGTAGATGAAGTACAGCTGCACTTTATTCTAGTTGAGCAAATAACATAGCAAGCATTGGCGGATCCAGAGGGGGGGGGGGGGTATGGGGGTTGGAACCCACCCTTTATTTTTTGCTTAGTGGAGGGAGAGAGAGAGAATAAAAAGTTTTCTGAGAATAAATATTTGTACGTCTTACTTACTTATTGAATAGATAGATTCTTACACATTTAGTTTCCTCCATTCACCTTCACTACTATTTTTATATGAGAGAATGGTAGAATATATTCCGCTTTTTTTTTTAAATATATATCTTATTTATGATATGATATTGTAACATGCGTGGTTTAATTTTATATTGGATTCCCTTGATCTTTGGCTGTGTCGGCTATATACGTAACGGTTTTTATAAAATCATATCTAAATCTATCTAAGGAACTAACATGTAACTCTTTGTTTTAAAGCACACGCGCACCCCACTACCCCCCCACCCCCCACCCCGATTTCTTGTTTCAAATTCTTTAAGAAATTTCTTTATAGATGATACAAATCCACTCAACTTTAAGGCTTCTTTTTGAAAGGTGCGGGTTTTTTTTTTTTTTTTTTTTTTTTGGTGTTTTTTTTTTTAATTTTGGTTCGGACTGGGTAAAGTTTTTTTTAAATAATGACATTAAACAAAGATAGTATTTACCACAACCTTAGACCTTTCCATACAAGTCTGTGAATTTTTGCTTGAGAGTATGTGGGGGGGGGGGGGTTAGAGGGATACAACCCTGGAACCTCCCCTTTCTAAAATTGCTGGATCCGCCCCTGGCAAGGATGGTATATTCTGCTAAAACGCTATATTACAATAGGTGTGATGTTTAAATATTTTTCTGTGTGGAATTCATGTCAAAAACTTGATTTTTTGCAGCGATGAATGAAATATTTGCAGAGTTCCTTAAAGCATTTCGTAGTTTGTAATACGCAAGTTGTTTATGTATATAAAGACTTTTATTTCACTTCCAAAAATTTTGCCTTTGTATATAACAAAGCCTATTTCATTCTGTAATTCAGATTCAGAATACATGTAATTTAAAATTATGAAATTGCCTTGGTGTTCAATAATCTATTTACACGGCAATTTTTTTCCAGGCTAAGCGGACAGCCTATCGATACATATTTCCAGTTATTGTACACTTTACTTCAAATGAAAACACCGCAGCCATGATACATAATGTCAGTGTCTTTTTTTTAGAATTAATAAAGAAAAATGTTTCAAATTCAAGGTGTTGTGATAAAATATGCATGTAAGACCTTGTAACCCCTCCCCCTCCCCAATAGTCTCAATAAACGCCGATCCCTCATTTTGGTTAGAAAATTCTTTTGTCAATTAGTCAATAACGACTATAGGAC